ATGGATGGTGAGTACATACTGCTCCGAGATTGTAAACTAGAAAGAAGTAATTATCCAATGTCCTTTGATTTTTCTGTATGACTTTAGGTCATAATGAAAATTACCTTTGAAATATACATTCCAAATATAAGCTAGATCATAACGATTAAAATCAGAAGTGTAAATCATTGGATTTCAACTCAAGGGTCTAAATATCAAGAGCTTGTTGCAAGACCTAAGCATTCCTGAGGTCGATATTCGGTGAGTTCTTAGATGCCTACTACGAAAAAACACATGCTTAGTGTTTTCTTTGGAACATCGCCTTGGTGTAATTCGTAAAAATATTATCCATGAATGAATATGTGTTGTGTATGTTAACGGCTTAACATTGTCGTTTATCGCTAACATCTACACCCATTCAATTAACGTTTATTTCCAAAATTTTATAATTTCAAGTTCCTTGTCTGATACATTATTTCCCCTCTTTTGTTGATTAATCTATCCAATGTTATGTAGATGTAAAATAGGCTTACTTGAACCTGTATATATTTGTACAGAAGACGACCTACCTGTCTTTATTTAACATTCTGATTAAGCTAATTCCTCTTGACACATAGATTTTGTAGAAGCACTGAGTTCATAGTACACTTGCTTTGACTGATGAACCATTTTTTTAAACTGACAGTCCCAGTAAAACATAAAATATTCGAACAAAGCGATTACCTATTCACATCAAATGTACATGGAACTTGGTATCTTTCTAAAATTCTTAGTATTATTACATATGCGAGGATCAATACACGCAGAACAAGAAGACATGATAATAATTAATATCATAAGTCTTAATACAATTACAAAGCACAATCTTAGTAAATATGAACTGTTTATCAAATGGTGAACAACATAGTAGACTAAAATTTGCTGACCATATATAGATATTGAGCTAAACTACACTTTAGTTCACAATATGAAATGTTTTTCTAACAACTTAGTGGTAATATTCAATTTAGTTTGATACTATGCCCTTAATACTCATGTGTATTATATTTAAATTTTTCTGTCTCAACTTTGAATAAATTATTTTGTCGGTTGATTAAAGCTAATAAATATTTAAGCTTAAATATTAACTTTATATACAAATTGAGTATGTTCACGGAGCCAAATCATCTAAGCAACGACATTTTAATTGGTTACTTATGGTAGATAAAGCCTGTTTGTAATGGAAGTATAAGTTTGTAAAATTCTGTGTTTTATAGTGGAATCTCCTCGAAATAATTCCGATGCTTCATATATCACTCATCCTGATAATCATTATCAGATAACTTCTCAATCATGTGTACATTTCAGAAGATAATACGAAGCTCTGACTACAGTTTATTACTGTACAGCGCAGATCACTAAGCGAATACGAATAAAGATATAAATGTCAACGAGCGAATGAATGGGATTTAAGAAGCACCTGCATATAAGCAAGCGAATGAATCACCGAGCAATTCGTGTAACTAACATTTTTTACTAGTAAGAGGAATATGTTCGTAGACTGTAACACGTGACCAAGTATACATGATCATAGAAGCATGGCGATAATATCGTAACGATATAACCAAGTTGTTACTGACACAAATGGCACTATCTATTACAATTTTAATTAAAGAGCTTAATAAACTCAAGCTTGAATAAACTAATGTTTAGGTGAGAGTACTATGTCTTATATTCAGCTGTCTATCATACGCAATTATTTCAAGTTCGCAGTACAATTTGTAAATAATATTAAAAAAATAACGTCACTGATAAGACATGACTCAAATTAGGTCAAAATTTTCGAGTTATATCAGTTTATATCAGTTAATGAACTGTTGATCTTGGCTATGTTGGTAGATCCAGACTACTTATTTGGGTTACGCGTTAAAACTGCGATCAGTAGTTGGGGTTGTGTGACATGGCTCAGAATCATTAACAGTAAAATAGATTCACTCTATATCTTACTGTAGATTTTAAACTCTGGTATTCCCTCATACATATCTTCTCATTTTGTCTTCTCGAAAATATTTCTCAATATATAGTCTTTCTCACTATCAAAACAATTTCAATTTCTTTGATATTCATTTTATTAATTTTATCTTATGTGTCTAATGTGGTATGGAGACTCGTGTGAACGCATATTTATGATTAATTGAATGACTGACCCATTAATAAGGTCTGTCATCAATCTTTAAGTTTAACAACTCTAAGTACAGTGGAATGATACTTTGACATGGTGGAGAAGATTTGTAGCTCAGGTGGATGACTTTTATAAAGATTTGTTCTATGAGCTGGATCATGAGTACTTAGATCAAACAAAGTGGCAAACATGGTGATGAATTTCGACTTACTTTAGATAAACTGAACAATCGAACAAGCACGGGTAGTGTTCAAACGTCAAAATATTAATCAAATTTAATTTCAGTTAAGTAAACGATTATAACTTATATTGTACAGTTTGGGGCGTGTTCTTATGATAACTAACCCTAATTAATGACCTTAGTGCAGCATAAAAAATTTGGACAAATAATTTATTGAGTAATTTTAAATATTATTGCTCAAATTATATTTCTGTTCTTTTAAAATAACTGTACAATTAAGTAGAAAGTTAAGCGCCATATTGATTGATGATTTCGGGTTATTTTAAATGATTTTAATCAGAAATTTAACAAGTAACAGGATTTGAAAAGATGGAAAACAAATGCTTGGTCGTATTTCCAAATCACTTCTTACTACTACTTGCGCCTGTTACCCGTTGTGAAGGAACATAGGCCCTACACCAACATAATCCCTCGAACTCTGTCCTGGATAGTCCTTTCCAGTTGTTCCCACTACACCTAGAACCCTACTAGGGCTACTACTGATCTCAAGACCGAGTAAAGGAGGAGGGTTGGGCATGGGGTCAGCATCCTTGCTAAAAAACGCTGACCAGAATAAACAAATCTATGGGACTTTGGTTATTGCTCAATAGATGTGCTAAACAGATGACAAAAGATGGATTCATTTTTACTGTCTGCTCACTTTTGAGTCTACTATTATCCCTTACATGTAAATTCTCTCTGAAATCTTTTAACTATATTACCTACGTTTAGTTTCTGGCTACTGTTAATATTATTTGGACCCACTTTTCGTATTGCTATTGGCTTCCCAATACATGGACATAATGTGAAAGAATGGACTGATTAGATCTTTATAAGACCTATATTAATGATGACTGTCCGGACTTTTAGGCCATTCACACTACCATTGAACTACGTTATTACCTGTTTCTAGAAGTTTCGTTTTCAAGTTAGAGGATATTAAACGTATCCCAAACTTGTCGTACAAACTCAATTACTCCTTAACTTCTATTATTAAATTTATTTTCTAGTGTTTATTTACCTCCGGTTACCAACGTTCACTTTTTTTAAAGATAGTTTGCACCACAGACTGACCCGAGCTAGACAGTCAATAGGACCCAGGCAGCACTAAATAGCGGTTCTGATCTCGTATGGAATTCCTGGACAATGCACACCCAGGATCCTTCTCAAAGGTAAAACTAAGTTCCCCTAGATCTCTAAGGTAGTATCAAGTGGGGCAAATTTTCACTTTCATTTAATTTACGCTTCAGCTCGACCATGATTATTCTGTCATGGATAGTGCCTGCCTCATTCCTAGCTTACATAATTGAGTTCCACGGCAACTCACTCTTACTGAAACTTCCTTCTATTCGTTTATTCTGGTGTTTTTTTTCATATTTCAATTTGATTGTTTGTTTGTTTCACTGTCAACTATCTCAAAGAATGCTAACTTCAACTAATGCAATATTTATATGATCTATTCATTTCTAATTGATCGACCTGTCATTTGTTTTTATTAAAATGCACATTTTGTAATTGTACATATTATTTCATCTTTTGATTCCACTTTAAGATTGCTAGATCATATGAACAAATAACTAGAAACTTAACATCAACTTTTCATTGTATACCGACTTTACAATCAATTGAACTTTTATTTCCAAATGGTAATTTAACCAACTCGAATTCTCTTCATTGTCACGTAAATATCATTTCAGTAAGTATATGTTTATTAGAAGTAGTTATCATTTCATTTTATTAATTAATTGTTTAAATCATATATACCGGACAATTTTCATCAACTATCTTGTTAATTATGATGTTAAATTATTTTATTCTTTGTACTCTGATTTGAGCCACAGTCTTTGTGTTAAAGATAAGTTATACTAGCCACCCAGCTGAAGTGATGAAGATAGAATGGGGTTCAAACCTTCTACCTGTTTTGGTGATTAGGACTCTACTGGAAGACGTTGATAACGAGATGACGTTAATGATAAAATTATGTTCGCTATGATTTAGCATAGCATAAGATTTTGTTTGAAATTTTTATATCTGCATCATCTCTTAATAGATGTGTCGACTCCGTTTATTCTTACTGCTTTTTCTTGACAATCGGGAATCACTGCAGAGTATGAAGACGAAAGACACTAGAATAATTTCTATGCTAGTTTTCGCACACAAGAATACTAGATACATAGAGTTACTGTAGAAGTACACGTACAATATAGCTTACCTGAATTGATTCAGAGAATATATATATCATACTGAACGAAGTTTATGCTTAATCGATTCAAGAAATGTTTACTTAAATAATGTATTTTTATCACTTCATATCAGAAATATAGGTGATATCTTAGTTATGTTATGGCCTTACCAGCTTGAAGTAATGTCTTCTTGCAAGGCTCTGAAAAACGTGTTTCTGAATGTGCAGATTTATTTAAACTTACAAATACACCTGGAGTATTTGATAAATACCAACAGATACGAAGGTCGTAGCTACTAGATTTCCACAACTGTATTATTAGGTTGCTTGTACGATAGACGTTTAATTATTGCAGAAAGAAATAGATTATCATATAACTCTTCTAATTATATAATTTTGGTAATTCATTACAAGCCTTTACATTACTTCAATTTTCATTCTTTTTTTCCTAATAACAGGATCATATCAATAATCTTCAAGGTGAAATTGAATGGTTGCATAAATATATTGAACCAATCATTATGAATGAAGATCGACTTAATTTATTTACAGATACTATTACTAATACTACTGATACTACTAATATTACTAATAATGAAAATAATAATGGAATCAGTGATCAAATTGTAAAATTCTATGAAGTTAATCAACATCTAACACAATTACTTAGTTATTTTACACAAATTTATCAAACATTATCTGTTTTCTACATACCGGCTATGGACAGATAACATCAGACAATTGATCATGCGTTGACTTACATTAATACTATTCAAAATCAAGTAGAATTACTTCGAGAACTGGCAATATCTATCAAGGTTAGTGACAAGGATGATAAGGAGGATTGTGAAAGTACTAATTACGACGATGAACAAAATGAAAATGTAGAATGTGCTCTAATTACTTATGAAAAGTTAGAACATCTATGTACTGGAAAACAACCGTGTTTGGTAAGTTTATGTAAATATTTGTGCTGATTTTAGCTAGATGACCTTTTTAGACTCTTAGCGGAGATTTATTATCAAGAACTACACTTTCGATACCAATGCTCATATGCTGTGTCTAATGTAATAGTATTCTTGGAGCACAGTGATTCTTAGTTGGATGCAGTCGGCAGGTAGCCGTATCTCTTTTTAATAATGAGTACCTGAACGACTGGTGCTTCCAGTGGGATTCGAACCCATGTCACAGCCGGAGAAGTTACTTACTTACATATACCTTTTAACTTTCCTGGAGGAGACTAGGCCAACCGACAGCATTCTCCATCAAACTCTGTCCTGGACAATCGTTTCCTCTTGATTCCAGTTGCTATTCGTCCTTTTGCTCTCTGCTTCCAATTCTCGGAGCAGTATGTTCTTTGGAGTTCTTTTCCATTTCACTTTAGGATCCCAAGTTAGCACTTGCTTTGTGATGCAGTTTGGTGATTTCTGTAATTTATGTCTTATCCACTTCCAACGTCTTTTCCTAATTTCCATTTCAGTCGGAAGTTGGTTCTCCCCTACAATAGGTTGTTGCTGATAATATCAGGTCAAATATATCGTCATGAATTCGAGTCCCTCTGACGATGCTAGCGAAACCTATAATAAGCTGAACTCTGAAAATTTCTATACTGAGATGGTGGAGAAGATTTGTAACACAGGTGGATGATTTTGGTGGAGTTTTGTTCTCTACCAAACCATCCAACTCAGAGAACAAAACTCCTACCAAAATTTTTATACTGTACTACATAGGAACCTGATGGATCTTAGTAGAACTAGTGGTGTATGTTTCGACATCATTATCATGATGTTTACAATAATGTGTTTGAGTTATTTAGCCCCGAATGCCCTGGTACGGTCGAGCGTAAGGAGAGTCTGCTTCTTCTCTCGAGAAGCTCTCAAATAGCCACGCGTATGCAGCCACTACCAGGGGAGTCCTACTCATTGCCTTCTCGCGGCGGGGGTGTTACGGAAATTGGGAGGATGAAAAGCGAATGTCCAGCGCTTTAACCGGTTTAATGGATATGGAAGATCCACCTAGGGGATCACGGGACTGCACCTACTAACGTTACTCCACTACCTTGTGGTTCAGACCTTTAGGTCGAAAGCTCCGGGTGTGGTTCCCTTACAAAACCACTTACTTTGGTCTGGGCACCCGGGTAGTATCACATCCCACGTACAAATCAAGTGACTTGTGTTACGCATATGTATTCGATGACCCTTTGTACCAGTATTTATGTATTCAATAAATAAATCGACCGACCAGTTACTTTTAACAGGATTCAATGTAAAAAGGTCACATCATCTAGTTCTCAAAATGTTATGTCGATTACACTGAGTATAATGAATTCCAGGAAATTAGTTGACTAAGTGATGCATCATCCAAACAATATGAATAAAATTGTACCAATATACAGCCTTATTCAAGTGGATATACATATTAACAGTCTCTGAGGATAAAAGTTTAAGTTATTTGTTCCTGTATAGTCTTCATGTTTATTGTAACACCTTTCATCCCACTTGTCAGTGATCTATCTGTGTGAAGTTTAACAGTCTCTTAAATTTATTATTTTGTTCTATAAACTGGACACAAACAAACTAGCTTACTGGCCAATTTCTTTATAATTGACAATCGAATACAATTCTTTGTAGTTTAGGCGTAATTAACACCTGGATGATAGGTTCTGTTACAATCAAGAATGGTAGTAACCCAAAGATGAAAGTTATTTTCAATTTTAATGAGTAACCGTAAATGAAAATTGTGAAAATTCACATATATTTTGGATGGGAAGAATTTATTCTTTCCCATACAGTGTGAAATTAACGACATTCATGTCATACATGTCCAGACGTGCATGTACTTTGCAAATGCATTGATTTTAAACAAAGGATTTAAACATGAAAGAGAATGAGTCATAAACTGTGGAATGAGAATAGATCAGACTGATCATCACGGAGTAACTAACTAAATTAATTAACTAAAGAACATAATCGGTTTATTAACATAAACTACCTACACTGATATTAAATGTGAAAAAATTTTTGTTTGACAAAAGGTCATCAGGATGAAAGGTCAGTTACAAAATATTACAAATCATAGTATAGTGTTTATTGTTAATACTTACATCACATTGCTTTGATATACTCGATGTTAGGACAAAATAAGATTGAATTCTACCTAGAAAAAGATTGTTTTTCAGTTTTACTTCTAAGATTTTGTTTTCCAAATTTTTTTATTTCAAATAACTGCTAGCTTTGGGATCAAAAACACGCAGAAAAAAGTATAAAGTTACACAACTACTAATGAATTTCAAGTACGTTGGTGTACAACGCCGAAAGTTTTACTTAGTAACCACTGATTAGTATATATAATCATTGTGAACACGCAGTCTAAAAACAAGCTAATCAGTTGCCTAGATGATTTACAGGGCTGTGCCAACGGCGCATCAAATGGAATCCTGGACTCATTTAAAAGACATAAGTTTTCCGAGAGTAGAGGACGAGAATATCAAACTGTTGATTGAGTGCAACGCATCGAGCGTACACGAGATGAAAGAGATCAAGTTTATCAAACCAAATAGCTTACTTGTTCTGGCCAAACCAAGACTCTGTGCTCGACAGTCTAGAGAATAGCTTGAAGTTACACCTTTAGGAAACTGCTTCTTACAAAGTTGTGAAACACATATGGAGAAATTCGAACACTTCACTTCTATCTGAAGTTTGTGCTGATGATGTCGTTCAGAAGAACGATGAAAGCTCCATGACCAAACCATCGAGCTCAGAGAACAAAACTCCATCAAAACATACATATATTCAATTATTAGACCAATAAAGCCAGGTTATGAGTCACTGATAACAATGGAATAGATTACATAAATAAACATAATAATAAAAAGTACAAACTTATATTGTGATCACTGACCTACTAATTGCGATAAGAATGACAAAGGCTCTAATCAATGTTAATAATAGGAGAAAGGTCAGTGTCTTGGAAAAATTGACGCTGAAATAAGATTTATTAAAATGACAAAATTACGTAATAAGTGTTCCGATGATTGGAGAGTAAAGTGTAAATTTGAAAAGGAGAGTAGAGTAAACATAAACGAAGCGTAACGAATCCTTATACTTTTGATATCACATTAATTTTTTCTCTACTATATTTACAATTATTTTATGTTTATTTGTCCTTTATTTAAATGGCCTTCAGATCGCATTGCCTTTAGTCATTTTTGATGGGATCAGATTGAAGACCGTTGCTCATTCTAGAGCATATGTTTAGACTCGGATCATGCTCTAGTTCGAGCACGTATTTGTTTGCACCTTACTGAACATAGAAAAGCCACAGTAAGAAAACCTATTGGAGTTCAAATGAACGATGGAAAAGTTGAGAATATATTTCAGAAACAACTAAAGGAGCTGGTTACCGGGAAAAGGATACCCATCCAGAAATAGCTTGGCATGATATCCAAAAAACTGTGGAAACAGTAGTGATATTTACTGCTAACTTAAACCAAAAAGTTAGGAAAAATTAGTGGATTTCAGTGGCGTCTACAAAACTGATAGATACTCGGAAATTCATACCATCTGGTTCCGGACACGAGGAGCATAGGCAGCCAAAACACAGGCTGATAAAAAGCTTAACTATTGATGATGAGTAGTGGTGGTTAGTGACAGCAGAAGAGATGGAAAAGACAGTAGCGGTAGGTAAAAAGTACATCTGTTCAGATTGTCAAGGAAAGGGATATTAAAGATCCGGCTGTTAGTGCAACCGTCTAGGGAAAATACGGGACTGCTATTCATTCTCATTCCAGGTGATTGAACTAATGAGTAGAATACTTTAAGAGATAGTTCATCTGGGCCCCATTGACACTTTAGTTACCCACTATCTCCAAGCAACCTTAATGGCAAACTGATACAGTTCCTCTAATATTAAGAAATTTTATGAAATAAAGTTCTTAGCCTCATTCGCAAGCATTACAACAGTTCAATGTATTTTATTATTTCACAAAAATTCTCCCTAATATTTCAGTCTGAGTAACATCTAGTTGACGGTTTTGTTTACTTTATTGTGAAGTATATGGTGGTAGTAAAATGTATGCTGTTTTAGCACAGAAATCACAACAACTCCATCATTATCCTGAGCTATGAATTTTGTCCTCTACTTATTACCTTTACAAAGTCGGAGTTCTTACTTATGAAGCGTAAAGACAAATAATGAACGTCTGACACTTATATCAGGTTGGTGAATACGATTAGTCTACCTGAAAAAGTTAAATTCAAAACCAACGATGTCCATGGGCTCCAAGGTCCTGATGGAACAAATAACTCATAAATCTATTTTTGGTTCTCGGTTATCACGAGACAGCATTTCTTAATGCTATTCCGTTGCCTTGTGAATTAGGCCTCTGGGTTAAAGGCTTGGGTATATCCCCTTCAGGAAACCGCCTGTTTTGGTTTAGACGCTCGGGTAGTGTCGCCGCCTACACATGTATTATAACTGTGTAGCGCATACTAATTTCCCTGTCCAATTGTACCGTGTTTAATGTCTATTCAACAATTAAAAAATATATATAATAAAGCATAGAACTATTCAGAAGGCATCTTGGTGAGCTTGTTTTTTCTAAGCTATAAATCTTCCTTCTTAGCAATGGATTTCTTGTTTAGAAATAAATCATTTGTTTTCACTAACAGTTCTACAGCTTTTTCCACTTGTTGATTTTTGTCTAAATATGAGTAGGAACTATTGGAAAATGTTCAAAATAATCATCGAGCTATTATTGATGAACTTGTAAATATGGTCAAACAAATTCAAATTTCAATTGATGAAGTGATAAAATCCACTGACAACAGTCAAGATTATTCAAAGACGATGACGTCAGCAATGCCAGTCAACACAATAACAACCAGTACTTATTTGTCAAAACTACTGGATCCGATTGAATCAACATCACAAAGATTTCTGTATTTTATTTCAGAAATTCAAAAGATAATCTCTGAATATGATCAGTTGATTATTCATACAAGTACAAGACAAAAGTTAGTGCCTCAAGAATTATCTGTAAATGAGAATACACTGGATACATTAGATATGCATGGTTCGGAATTGTTTCAAGTTAGTTATATTAAGTTTACTGACATCCTTTTCAATGACCATATATTATGAATTTCAAGTTAAATTATTATACCCTGCTCAGTTTTTGAAACTGACCTATTATTGTGCATAGGTCGGTTTATTTGAAGTGATAAGCGATAATTATACCGACTAAGTAAATTCATTTTCTATATCATTATCCTTTTTCATGAAATCTACACACATACGGTAGGATTTGACAACACTGATATCAACTTTCATAGAACGCTAGGCTTGGATTACATGTATGCATCTACTAGATCTTGTAAGGCTTTAGGAGCTTATACTATGCAGTTTGTCTTAGTTCTTGTCTTATGTGTTAGAACAACCTATAAATCCCGATAATCTTTGACAATATTCAAGGGTATCATATTTATTATTTAATTATACGAATAATCGCCGTTATGATCTTTTTCTATGACATAATGTTTGCCAATGTTCGTTTCTAATGAGGACAACCAAACCAACCTATAACTTTATCTTATAATTATTTTATCTAGTTCTTCATATTTCAATCTATCCATAAATATCAGAACAGATGACTTTGCAATACCCGATAGATCATTAGCATCTAGTAAAACAGGATTAAATACTGAAACGATCCCATAAAGTGGCTTGAATATTACTTACTTCCTCTTTCGACAAGTGATTACAGTTACTACTTTTCCTTCTGTAACAAATGTGGCTCGCTTACAGTACTTAACTTATGACAGTTAGTGGCAAAGCATATAGAAAATCACTTTAACGTTCTATCTCTCTCTCTCTCTCTCTCTATATATATATATATATATATATATGTTCTTACTTCCCTACTAATTATAGGACGCTTGTATACCATCAGTTAATAATTATCAACACCATTTTAATGAATTCGACAAACAATATGAAGAATTATTAATGAATCTTTGACAAATTCTTGGTCAGTTGTTCGTGATTATTCCCATTTGAATGATGAGAATCAATTGAATGGACAAACACTACTAGTCAATAATTTATCTCAAACAATTATTCACAGTGGTGATTCCAATGAAAGACATAATACAGAATTAATAATTCTGAACAATATCTTAAAGAAAATAGATTGTTTAGAAAGTGAGTTAATTCATACAGTGCGCTTTTCTTTTTCTTTAAATGATGGTTGATATCAATACTATTGATAAAAAGAATATGAATTCATTAAATCAGTATAAAATGAATTTTGTGTTTTGCTAATGTCTGTTAAACTTACGTATTCACATACTATGAACAACAAATAATGACAAGTGTAAATGTTGATCTATGAACGATCATTGAAACAGTCGTATAAAGATTGAAAGGTTGGTATCTCATTGAATGTTCACTGTTCTCTGAAAATAGATAAAGTATGAAAGAGTTTCTCAGTAGCTAAACCAAGATAAAACAATAAATTAAAATACCTGACAGTTGTCGAATTTAGATATTTTAGAGGTTGAATACATCTTACTAATTTTATCGAAATATGAATTATCGTAAATATGAAATGTCGAAATTGTTTTCGCCGTTTTATCATAAATGTAGTGAATCAACTCATGTTTGTTACATTATTTGTTAGCAGCCAAAAACATTGGATGCAATATCTTTGGAAAGGTGGACACTTTTGTACTCCATTTCTCGCTGCTTATTATGTTATAGATATTGTATGGGGTTTGTGGAGAACTGAGTTTTTGTGATTGTTCTTTCACTAATTCAGATATATTTTTAAGATATCTAATTATACTACTTAAATATATTTTCAGTAGGAATGTTCTGGTGCTTGATTTTCTATATAATTCAATGTTGCGTATATAAATTGAAGGATTTGTTCAAAGAGTGACCATTCTACAAGGGCTTTTTGTAGACAGAGGGAGATCCAAGTAGATCTGTTTACAAGAAATTCTGGTGGAATGGTTAGCTATCAAGCATTTACATCTGGGTTCTCACTGGTTGAAAGCGAAACTTAATTATATCCCCCGCTACCCGGATACGAAGAATTTGTGGTACTGAGGTCATCGATATCTAACTATACTTCCTTAAAAATGCTTATCAAAACAGGCATCCATCAGTATTTATTGGGAAGAACATAAAACTCGAATTTCTTAAAGCCAAAATAATCTCTGAAGATGGGAAACTCTTAGTAACCTCCATTTCAAAGGTGATATGGTCACAGACATCCTGAAGAGGAGAATTACCGACTCTCTCATGAGAACGTTCTTCACCACAATTTTGGGATTAGTGTTTCCCAACCAGCAATTGTTCACTGGCAGTCTATTGGATAAACTATCTCATTTGAACAATTCCATATGCATTTTCTAAATTACTAGTTCGTATGGAGCCAGGTATTTAGGATCTTCGATGCGTATTTTATCCAAAATTATTTAATAACATTATTCGAGGTGGGTGAAAAGAGGTGACAAATAGCTCAATAAGAAGTATAATAATCAAACACCTTGTGAAAACAGACCATTTAAGCAAAACAAACTCAGTGTTCGAAGTCATCTACAAGATAAGTAGAAAGCTGTCAAAAACAGTTAGCCTCTGTCTTTTTAACATTACAAAGCACTTGCTATACATCTAAATAGACCAGAATTATCTGTACGAAAGAAATTTGTACAACCTCTTCTTCTACCATGGTCTTACTCTCTCATAAGTTCTTCTTCACTTCCAGAGTCATTTTGTTCTCTTCTTTTTTTCTATAGACCTTTTACCCACAGCTGATTTGTTTCGGTTTCCATGATCTTACTGATTATAGTTTATCTCGATTTCAACGTTTTATCTCAATATGTTGGGTCTTGCTTTTCAAGTATACATTTGCAATTATACAGTATTGAAAATGAATTCACTGAAAAGCGAACTCTTTTCTGAACCAGTTTTTTTGTATTTTGTGTCTCAATGGTTATATTCTGTTTAGTCTGTTAATTAATCTTATTTTTTTAGATAATCTTAAATTATCCTGTTGTAATATAATGAATGATGATCTGGTAAGGAATAGAGTGAATCAAGTGAGCGAATTACGGTCTGATATAACTGAAAAAATTAATCAAACAATTAAGGAAATTGAACTAGTGCGAATGAGCAGTCAACAAATAGAATATGCTCAAGCGAAGTTGAATGCTATAAAAGTAAGTTCGGCATAAGTATGAAATGTACAGTCTCTTGAATTTTTTGTTCATGCGTTCCGTTTTTCCTTATTTTGCATACCTGGTCTAAAATATTCCTTTACAGTATGAAATTTTTCTCAACTTTTGGTTGATAAACAAAACGTAGTAGATATTCATCTTTATTAGGAAAAATATTTCTCTCACGTTAGGACTAATCAGAAAAGGAGATAAATTTAACGACGGTAGTGAAATGTGAAGAAATGGTTGGAGGTAGTCGATAGGGATTCGTGAAAGTAAGTTTCGTAGTAATTGGCACACATCAGTAAGGTGTACCAGTAAATTAGAGGGAAATGAAACTTACTGTCAGAGACGATCACATGTTACGTAGCATCGCAATCAGAAACATTACTATTGAACTATCTGGATCACGACTAACCTATTACAAGGATAAGGCATACTCCCTGAATAGTGACCAGTTTAATGTATCAGGTCTTTCTTAGTGTAACATGATCGTTCGAATTCGAGTTTTTGTAAAATTGAGGTGTGTTTGAACATCTCATGAAAATTCATTTCCTTAAAGGAACTCACATAATGTTACTTAGTGCTAGCTTGCGAACTTAGTGTGGGTTTCTACACCTTTCTATAGGTCATATCTTCATATGTTTATATCTTTATATATTTTCTATAAAAATCGATGGCATTTCTATTAATTACCGTTACCTCTTTTTCACTATTGTTGTGTAATTTGATGCTTACATATAATTGTTTGTATATCATCTCTAAACATTAATAATAAATGTAATTTTATTAATTTATTTCAAGAATTAGTCTACATTTAAACAATCAAGCGATTTATTTCAACTAAGCGTATTCTCTCAAAACGAGGCTGAATTGGTAACTAATATATTTGAAACATGTGGTCATTTAATTAAAAAACAATTATCTGAAACAAATGTAAGTTTGAATTGTCACTTCACTATATTATAAGTAAATATGTAATCACAAATTTATTTACCTAAGAAGGTATCAATGCAAAAATAGTGCATTTATGTGTATAATATTACTGTTATTGCTCTATTCAATTGAAATTTATTTAGTTAATTGTTATAATTTATGGCATGTACGCCTTGTTAATGTATACGTAATGATACTGCCAATTAGAGAGCAGTGAATTGTCGATCGACACAATGACGCGTAAAGCCTGTGCGACCAGTCTAGAGTACTTATCGGTCCTACTTCCTGCCTAGCCCAGACAGTTAAGTCCAGAACATCGATTTCAGCTTGTGTGATATGAATCATTTATTTCAAGCCTACTGAGTTTATATACCAACCAGGACGAACAAATCGTATCATAAAATGGAAATAACCTTTATACAAGATTTGGCCAAATGTGTCTGTGAATGAGGGAGGTAGTAATTAATAGACAAGGAATAATTCAAGAAGAATACATCCTAGAATAATAGTTCATCGGTCAAAATAAATCTCATAATAAGAGGGGCATAAATATGAATAGTTTAGTTATCTAACAATTATACGATCAAAATATACACATAGTATTGGTCCACAAATGAATCCCGAAAGTTACCATTCATTATGCTTATCGGGACATAATATTAATAAAAATGTTGCTTTCACATTGTGCATCTATAAATTTCAATGTATCTCAATTTCATACTTAGAAACGTGGTTATGAAAAAGTGTTTTATGCTCTTAATTAAAGTTTTTATTATCTTCTCTTTTGAAGTTCACGGTAGTTTTGCATACGAAACCAAGTAAATTTTGATAACTGAATTATTCAATTAATAGAACGAGTAGTACATTAGCTTTCCCTAAATCAATTGAACCTACAACGTTGTATCAGACTTCATACCAAAACCTTAATCCAGTCAGAATAATTCATTTATTAGTTTACTTATAATTATAGACGTACTTGTTTTGTTGAAACTGTTTATTCGGACTCTTAATAATTTTGACTTGAATAAAAGTTTGTTACTGTAACTGAAGGATGTGCTGATATTCCGTCATGTATTCAAAAAAAGGAAGAACCATTATCATTCCAGCAAACAGAAAGTTTTGAATTGGTATTATAGTTATTGAAATTCATGATTTATGATAAAAATCTTTCAAAAGTACTACTTATATCGGACTACTTAATCGATATCAGTCTAGTGACTATCAAAATTTCATGGATTTGTTCATTTTAATATCTTTCTTATTTTAATGATTTTACTCTTTCTAGGATTTTCTGAAATGAAATCAGTGTACTTTAATACGGATTTTTGTGTGATTCTGTTCGAGTGTGTCTCTATTCTGAAAAAACTTGAGCGTTTTTTAGAGAATTGTATTGAATAAGGTTATGTTCAATACTAATAAGATCTGTCAATTGTTCCATGGTGAAGTGAGAATAGAGTATTATTTATTCCTTGAATACATGTATATCGACGATCGCTATTGTCAACATGATTATTCACTTAGAGCAAACAGTATTGTTGTTTAAGCTTTCAATAACAACTTCATATGATGTCATTTTTCAGTACCACGGCTCTACATCTAATTACATTCAAAAGAAGCTTTAACTGAACCATGGTGTGTTTTATTCTATCCTGCAAATCTAAGTTCAGAAATATTGTTTCTTAATCTCTGATGCAATTGAACTCCAAGGTGTTCTTCCTTATGTAAACTTAGTGATATTAATCATCTTTAATACAATCTTACTTCAAATCTCTGAATAAAGTAATTAACTGTCGCTTCTTTTGTCTATGTGTTTTTTTCTCAACTTCTCTTTATTAGCAAGTAATTGACAAGCTTCAAGAATTAACTGATGAAACAAATTCTACTAATCCAGGTCGTTATTTACTACAGAATTTTAACTTTGATGATGAAAATGACACATTTCCATCTGAAATTGCGCATATTGAAAATAACCAATTGGTAGATTCAATAAATTCTGAACAAAATAACATATCTCTAACATATTTTAATATTCCTTTATGGTATGAACAAACTAAGGTAAATGATGAAGTGATCAATTTTCTGGAACATATAAAAAATCAACGTGAACAACTATTATTTAGTTATGAATTATCACAACGTCTTGCTATATGGTTATCAGTAAGTTGGATTGTGGAATTTTTGTTTCATACAGAAAATGAAATAAACCAGTTTTCATTTGATAAGATCAAGTATAGATGAATTATTTAACTGATGCTTGTGTTTATTCATTGGGTTGAATACCTTTTTAATCGAACAATCATGAATAAATATTAATAAAATCGAGATTGTTTGTTATACCACTCAGTTTGTGCCTACCTTTACGCATAATAGTGGATAGTTTTAGATTGGATTGGGATGAAGCTCTCTCTCTCTCTCAGTGAAAAAATTGTCATTAGCCCATGAATTCATTGACCGTTAGACTAAACCCTCTCTGTTGATACAGACCATGGAGTTGGAGTCTTTGTTATAATTATTCATTCTGAAAATTAATTCCTTCATTTCGAGCCATATTTCTCATATGCAGTCTTTTTTATCACCATTAAAATAAGCATTACTTCCATATTCATCTTTTTAATTTTTTCTCGATATCCTGATATGACGTATCTCTTTGAGCAGATGAATATATGTCCTTACTTCCTACATTGATCATAACTAAATAGATTGCTGGGGAGCTTTTACGAAGTTTCTTAAAATTTCAGGAAGAAACATTAGACGATAATAAGACTTTTTTATCATGACCCCACGCGTAAAGAAAAAACTTAATACGACATAAACGTAATTTAATAATTGTTTAAAACATTTTCACTTTTGTAGTATTCTTGTGTATCATTCACTAAAAACAGCCTAACTTGCCTTCGGAAATTTCAATTTGTTCCTCCGCATCAAACATAGAATTTTATTTCTGTGCCAAAATGTTTACTTGTACACTTACAATTGTCACATAGAAATGTTTGTGTGCTTTCATCTTGTTTTTTTCTGTTTTCCAGGTAATACATCCTAGAATGACCAAATTGAAAGTGAAATTTCAACACTTAAGTGTTAAGTCAGCTAATTTAAGTGGCAATAATGATCTGTGCTCACATTTACATGATGTAACCGTAAGTCAAGATTATCGTATATATATTAGTAGCCCAGTTATGCTGTCACACTGAACAGACCTTGGTATTTCATTTTTGTATTGGTAGTTTGAATCTTCCCGTTGATGTTTAGGACTGCAGTTGAACAGTTTCTTATTGGTATATATGCATACTGTGCGGATTGCCTCAATATCGCCTTCAGTCACAGACACTATAAGCTGAGATGATGATGGCTAGCAGTGGAATTCAGTTTGGCGCTCGTTTCGTCCTATTTGGGACTCGTCAGTTGGATGCACCTGCATTCCAGAGTTGATATTCACTCCATCTCTGCTTATAATGCTTGTGACATAAGGTAATATCTAGGCAATCCGCACAGGATGCACATATACCAATAGGAGGCTGATCAATTGCAGTCCTAAATATCAATGGGAAGATCCAAACAACCAATACAAAGTGAATTAAACTTCACCCCATTGCACAAGCTAGTGGCTATCACGACTCAATAGCCTGGTGGAAAACGCGATGGCGTTTGAAGCAAACGATATTGTGTTGGAGTCCCAGAGTGAACATCTGATGAGTCCCAAAATAGGACGGAACGCACGTCCTGGTTCTCACTGCTAGCCACCATCCATTTCTGCTTGGAACCTAATAATGTCTACTTATTCGGCAAGGTTGTTTCAAGGATCTTTGCTTATACATTCCTTACGAATAATCTCAGCTGTTTGCTTAAATGTTGTTAGTGTTTCGCATTTAATGTTTACACTTTCTATTGTACATTCATGTCAGTTTATTTCGAAGAACCAAAGCACAACCTTCTGATATAATTTTTGGGTGAGGTTATCTTCATCTGTCTTGTATGGACATGTCCAGTGTAATTCAGTTTATCATTCTATATAAAAAAGATATATATATATATATATATATATATATATATATATATATATATGAATTGAAATCAAGTCTATGAAAACGGTACTCTAACATGTAGTACTCATTAATAAACGGGAAAATAACAGCAACTTCCGGATACAACGCATTCAGTGAGTTATAGACAACACCAATCTGTTTTTTTATAGGTCAAATGGGTAGCTTTTACAAGCTGTTACTGCTAAAGTCGTGAAATTATCGCATGGCATCTTACTCTCATAAGTTGTTGCAATGAAATAGATTACCTTTTTCTAATGAAATTTGTTATATTCCTAGTCTGTAATTGAAATCATGCCTATTGAAATTATATGGGATTTCATGGGTTTTTTTTCTTTCTTCAATTTAGCTGTATCGACTTGAACTTTTCTCTCAGCTACCAATGTTTCAGTGTATCCTCAATGACGTCAATGAATTCAAAGATGTAATATTCCATTTAAGTGAAGATTATACATCAGACAATAAAATCGATCGTATTGAACAAACATTTCTGGCCTGTTTCAATAAATGTGAACATGAAACTTCATTACATAGATCAATTATTCATTACACTGAACAGAAAATAATGACAATTATAAATGATTTTAATAACATTCTTACAGAATCATCTGTTTATCTAGTAAGTTAGTTGTATACATTGATGTTAAGTTAGTATTCATCTTTTGCACTCATAACACGTGAAATACCAATACGCGTGTGTCGATATACATATACAACGATCGTTAACGAAAGACTGAGGGTTCCTAGTTACGGTATGTATTATTATGAAAAGAAATTATTTTTAGATAATCTACTGAAAATTTCGGAAGTAGATATTTTATACAGTTTGCTTTTTACCAGTCAGAGATTACTTTCCATTTTGATCAATTAAGTGTTACTTGAGATGTCTTATGAATCAAATCAACCTGATAAGTTCTAATTCACTTTTTTCAGTGGTAGTGATAACAAACAGGTTACAAGTCTGAAACCCGCTTCACTTCAGTATATCTGGCTCAAGGGGAGACTATGAAAACATATATATGTTTATTAATCCCCGTTTTGTGATCATCATTGCACTGTAAAATATGACTATACTGATTGATCTAGATTGGAAATGACTCGGTTTAGAATTACGATATGATCTTACAATAGTACAGCCCCTATCTGTTTGCCTTTTTATTAAATTGCTATATGTTTAGGCATAATTTTACTCTAAACAAACACGTAAGCAGGTACACCCAACTGACGAGTCCCAAATAGGACGAAACGTGTCAAACTGCATTCCACTGCTAGCCATCATCATCTCAGCTTATAGTGTCTGTGACTGAAGGCGATATTGAGGCAATCCGCACAGTATGCATATATACCAATAAGAAACTGTTTAAATGCAGTCCTAAACATCAATGGGAAAATTCAACCAAACAATACCAAGTGAATTTAAATACGTTAGCTATTTATAAGCCTTTGCATTTTATGATTGTTGATGTAAAGACCTTCAAATGATCAGTCTGTGTTTGTAAACGTACATCATCAGCGTATTTCCACAATACTGGCACTTAGTTAAATACTTTTATTAATGTTGGGTTGCAGCTAACATGGTGAGCGTTTTGTCCTATTTGACACTCATCAATGGATTTACCTGGCTTCGTGTGTTTAAGCTTACAATAAGGCTTGAATGCAATACCTATCATTACAAAAGTTAACGAGTTATCTTCTGTAAAACCTTAACTATTTGCATTTTCCTTCCATTTTCCAGTCAGCTATAAGAAATCGACTCATTGAAACAAATCAGATTTCAACAGTTCTAAATGAATTGTCAAATTTGCTAGATGAATTCAGTTGTTTAGATGAGAGATTTGTAAAAGATTGTATGATAGACGAAGAAGAATTGCCTGTTCATTGTACAGAAAACAATTTATCCCCTGTAAAAAACGTATATTTAAATAACTGGACGAAAGTAAAAATTCTAGAGGTATGATGAAATTTGTTTTAAATGAATATTCTTATGATAGAATTAAATTGTTTCAAATAAAATTGTTTTTAGTACAGGGTTGTGGAGTTTTGATTGTGATCATAAATCAATCAATATTAGACCACCATTTAAAACCTAAAAGCACTAAACGGCCGTTTCTTCCTAGTATGGGACTCTTCATCAGTGCTCATTCACGAGCCCACACGAGGGATTCGCACCGTGAGCAGTGGAGCTAATCCGTGCAGGTTATGAGACAGTCACCCACCGAAGACAATCGAAGATGGTCGCGCAGTTTCGTGGATAGGTTGAAGTTAGACATCAACACCATTGTTTACCGGCTCAGTGGTTAAACGTTCTCGCGCGAGGGATCATGGTTGCACACTACTGAGGAAGGAAAAACCGTTCAGTACTCCCAGGTTTTCATGGTGAGGCGATCGGTCCATGGTCTCAAAAATTATTTCTATCATAAAGAATG